TCTGTATCTGCATTGTCCAATAGAGTAGCCACTAGCCACATGTGGCTACTGAGCACTTGATGTGTGGCTGGTATGAGGAGGAAATGAAATTTTTCATTTCACTTAAATTAAATGCAAATTTAAATAGCCACATGTGGTTAGTGGCTACCAAGTTAGATCATACAGCTCTAGATGTTGGGAAAGCTACAATCACATACATTCCTTGCGGAAAATTCAAAGAATCTGTACTTCAAGAAGTCTGCAAAAATATATCGCCTTCCTGTTTCTTTCCACATTCCAACTGACAAAGAAACTTATAACCAGTCTTTCCACAGAATCAAAGAAGAATCATGTTACAGTCGAACCGCCATAGCCATCTGTCCTTAAAATTCATTCTCCCAGCCCCATTCTAGTAAGAAATAACAACGAATAATAGTACTGAAGCAGGTTTAATATAACTTGGGCATTACACATGTTGTCAATATTAAGTTTAACTTTAAATCTTACACTTACTGGAAAAGAAAACACAAACCACCCTCACCGTTTTTCTGTTGAGGGTCCATTTCAGGTCTCAAATTTCATTTACATAGTAATGAGGTATCTAGCACAAAGGTGGACATCTAATAGCAAGGAACAGTATGTAAAAAAACTATCTATCCAACTGTTCACCCATCTATCCACCCTACTGTCCACTCATACATGTAACCCACCAAACCAGCCAGTCAGCCATCTATCTATCCAACCACCCATCTATTTATCCCCTGAATCTATTTACTGACTCACAAAAAATAGTTTTTCTCTCATCTACCCAGATAATGAGAGCTTAATAGAGAACAGATAAGCAGGTGACTATGTGATACTTTTTTTTTTTTTTTTTTTGAGATTGAGTCTTGCTCTGTCACCCAGGCTGGAGTGCAGTGGCACAATCTTGGCTCACTTGCCTCCCAGGTTCAAGTGATTCTCCTGCCTCAGCCTCCCGAGTAGCTGGGATTACAGGCATGCACCACCATGCTCGGCTAATTTTGTATTTTTAGTAGAGACAGGGGTTTCATTGTGTTATCCAGGCTGGTCTCGAACTTCTGACCTCAGATGATCCACTCACTTCAGCCTCCCAAAGTGCTGGGATTACAGGCATGAGCCACCGTGCCTGGCTGATACATTATTTTTAAGAGTATGCTTTCAGGTTAATCCTCAAAAGTAGAATAAAGAATAAAAATGAGGAAAATAGTTTGCATTAACTAAACATAATTTCAATTAGTCAATATTTATTGATCACCCATTTGGCACAAGAAAACTTGTGGGGCATTATGGAAGATCTAAGAATATATTAAAAACCTCTGCCCTCAACATTCTTAATAATCTCCCCAAAAATGTAAAGCAATAAATATATGAAGGCTAAAATAAAGAAATTAAAAAAACATTTCAAAACAGCAGCATAAAAGTTGTCACAAGATAATTCATGTCTCAGATAATAAGTCTCATATTTCAAGAGGGTCAGGAAATTTGGGCTAGAATGGTCCAACTTAGGGTTTTAAGGAGGAGACTTGAGTCAGATTCTGAATGGCAGGCAAGAAGACAGAAAAAAAACAAAACAAAAAAAAACACCTAAGATTTTAGAACTTGAAGGGACCATAGAAATTGCCTAGCTTAACTTCATCATTTTATAGATGATTAAAGTAAGATCGGCGAGTTAAGTGACTTAGTCCCACTTTCTCATATGGGTAGTAATGGCAGGAAAATGTCTAAAACACAGATTTGTTGCTCATTCGAAGCCCATACGCCACATGGGATGAGAAATACAGTCTTGTATTTAGGAAAGGAGAAAGCATTCTGGAGAGTGGGTGGGACACAGCATAAGACAGGAAACAGAGCCAGGAACACATCAGTGCAATCACCGTATATGAGGATATCAGTGTGTGTAAGGAGAGAAAGTACGGGAGGAGAGGGAGGATGGGGATCAATATTGAAGGTGCTTGAATGCAAACTTGCAATTGCTCAGCTGTGCAAATCCCCAGAATTCTGGTTTCTGAAACTGTCTTGAAGTCTCCCTTTGAGCTGGTGATGCCAGTATAAACTTTTCTAGAAACTTGATGTTCTTTTCACATTGACAAAGATTCAAGTTCATTCTGTGAAGGGGAGAACTACAGAAGGGAAGCTGGAATGAGGACTGGCAATGCTGGGCAACGTATGGGGGCAGGGATGGATGATTATCAATAGGTGCCTCACTCATGACTCAGAACCCTGGATTCAGTAGATTTAGGAAAGGGCCTAGGAATCTGTATGTTTTTAAAGTTCCCCTGTGATTCTGGTGATCATCTTGTTTGGAAGGTCTTCTGGTTCATTCACTCTTTCACCAGTCTACCTCTATACAGACTACCACCTTGAAAACTGACAATATTTAGTAAATATATGCCCCCTATGACCCAGCAATTTTACTGACAGACATATATTCAAGAGAAATAAACACTTACATTCCCCCAAAGACATGAATAAGAATGTCCAGAGCAGGTTATCATCATCCCCAAACAAAACAACCCAGTTTCCATCGGTGTTCACATGAATAAATAAACCAAAGTATATTCATACAATGGAACACCACACACAATTTAAAAGAACAAACCACTGTTACACCTATCAACATGGGTGAATATCACAGAGATAATGATAAGCATAAGAAGATAGACACAAAGGAGTACTTACTATGTGATTCCATTTATATGAGATTAAAGAACTGGCAAAAATAACCTATGGTGATTGAAATCAGAATAGTGATTGCCTCTGTATGGGGGTATTAACTAGGAAAGGACATAAGAGAAACTCTGGGGGATGTTGGAACTCTTTTACATCTCCATCTGGTTATCCAGCTCAATAGACATATGTAAAAATATATTCAGCTGTTACTTGTTCAGTTTACGTGTATATAGATTACAGCTTGTTGAGAAGAAAAAATATAGAATCTATATTCCCCCTTCCAACCTCATGAGATATAAGAATCCCATTGCTTTTAAAAATGAGATGGATAGAAAAGTACAGTCTTAATCATTTAACTACCTCAATACCTATTCTTTCTATTGGAATTGGTTAGATGCACTACCTGTGATTCAGGCGATCCATCTGCTTTTTAAAGACCTAGAAAAATACAAAAAGTTAGCAATATGGGAGCTTCTAGTAATTTCTGAACTTGGCAAGGACAGGCAGTAACTATAAACTTACTGGGAACACACTGGAGCTGTGAAGGAGTGCAACCTGGCTTTTGAAAGAGCTTTCCCTTTTTGCTGATGGTGAACTTGGTCTGCTTTGAAACTCCAGAGAAGAGTTCCCTGCAGCTGCCTCTTTACGTTCCATGCCCTCACTTTCCTTTCTGTTTTTCTCCTCAAGATGAGAGTAAACACCATCTGTACCACTGCATTCCCGAACCCGGAAACCAAAATTTCTCCTTCCCATTAAGAAAATTACCCTCATCCTGAAGTGCCCTCGGCCATTGGTAACAAGCCACAGCCCTTCTGCCAGCTCCAGAGTTTGCCAGTCCTGAATCAACATATGAAATTGTCTGTGTTCATTGGTATCTGGTTGGCAGATGTGCAGGGTAGGAGCAAGCCAAAGGGGAATAGAGGGAATGGAGAAATTCTGTTGAGTCAGTACAATGTGCAAACCTTGCTTCTGGGCCATTACTTTTCAGTCTTTGAAAATGTTATGTGCCAGGCAGTGTGCTTCAGGTAGCTAAGCATAAACACATGTCTACAAATACCGATAACACTATCTTTATTTGTCCATTACTCAACAAAGCCAGATCACCTGAGAACTGTTTGTTCCTCTATAAAATGAGAATCCAGCACCACACGTATTAAAATGCGAAACATTTTCTTCAGAGTATAAGCTTTCAAGAGCTGCGTCTATGTCTTTTCCGGAACACTCTCAAATCCTTCTGTATCTTTAACACATAACATACACTTGATTACAAGTGAATATAATCACTTATAATCAGGTTTATTGCAGCAGTTTTTTTGGGTTGTTTCACCGTATGGTCTATGCTGCATCTGAAAGTCTATTCATTACTATGTCCAATTTCCATAGAACAGAAGTACATAAAGTATGTTCAGTAATTTGTGTGAACAACCTGCAGCTATTTCTTGACTTGTTAATTCAGGCAAGTGCTTTTTACATGCTAGACACTTGATAAATATTCAAAGAATGAATATAAAGTTTTAAGACTGATAAATGTAAGCTTTTATGCAATGTGCTCACACAAGAAATGCAGTTTGCAAATATGCATATTTCACAGAATAAAAAACTGTAGTGAACTCCCTCTTCCTCCCCACAATAAGTCCCAAAAACATGGTATATGGAAGTATGTCAATAAAGATATTAAAATTAGAAGTCAATCTTGAATAGAGCTTTCTCCAGAAAAATTTAAAAACTCAAATAATGCTTGATTTCATTTAAGAGAGACTTAGAAAAACCAGCAAACGATTGTTCTGTCACAGAGAGTCAAATACAAAATCAGCTGTGGGAAAAGTTAAACTGTCTGAGAAAAATGAATTTCAGAGAAATGAGGCTCATTTTCTCCTCTTGGTTGTTTCTGAAAGAATGTTTTGAAGAAATGCGGTGGAACTTTCCTGTTCTCTGAAGGTTTTGAATTGCTTCTAAAAAATATTTGCCTGAGGTTTAAACTCTATTGGGTATGATTGTCTTTCTCACTGGTCAATTAATTTTGCAAAAAGGGAGAAGTTAGGGAAAGGCAATGCTAAATAGATATGTTCCCAGAAAAGCCACCTCAGTTTTCTGCTTAGAGATATTTTTTTCCCATTTGTCTCCTTCTGTCCCCATTATTCACTCACTTCTCTTTCTCAAACCAATGTTATACTCAAGAAGTCATCCCCAGAACAAAACCTGCCTGGATGGGAATTCGAGTTTCAGTAAAACTTCCCCTTGTGCAAACAGCTCCCTGTCCCAACATGGTAATTCGTTTACCGAGGCATCTACCACCCTTGGAGAGCATGTAACTTTCAGCCTGTACTTACCTGTCTGCTGAGAGCGCTGTGAGTGTGAAGACAGACACCCCAACAGAGGTAAGCTGGATAAAGGGGATCAGTTTGCAGCCAATCCTGCCAAACAGCCATCTGTCAGCCAGGTACCTGCTGGCATCCACTGGAGCACACGTTACCAGGAGGAGCAGGTCTCCCAAAGCCAGACTGGAAATAAACAGGTTTGGAACATTTCGCATGGACTTGACTGTAAGGAAGATCTTGATCAAAGTGATGTTGCCAACGAGGCCTATCAGAATGATAACCCCATAAACTGCAGGGATGACATAGAGGATCCCCGGCTGGGACCAGTCGTCGTTCACGGGGAGATCCTCACTGTGATTGGAGATGTTGCAGTGCATGAAATGATCCACTTCCAAGTTTAGAAGGAAACAGTCATTTAGAGCCATCTCTAGATTTTTTCCCCACCTAAAAGTTCCCTTAGATGCTATTTCTTAACTATTGATTTTGCAACCAGGTGAAGATGAAGATGAGATCTATGCTGGGCTCTTTGTCTTCTTTAATAAAAATACTCTGAGTACATATATACTAACTATATATTCAAAACTGTCTGTCACTATTTTGACACTGGTGCCGCTCTGGCCTTCACATGACCAGTGCAGTACAACTCTAAATTCAATAAGTTAACCACAGCAAATACTTAGCAACAAAAAACCTTAGAATTAAACCCACTCTCCATCAGCTCTTTCTACCCCCATTCTAGTCTGAGTCTCCCTGGCTGCACTTTACTAAGAACTTTTGGCCTGCTATTTTCACACAGCATTTGCTGTCTTTCCTGATTTTTAGAATCTGAATGTTTAAAGTGGGTAGGAATAAACTGCACTGAGAAATCCTCAAATCCTATAGGCAGGGTGCTTTGCACGTCACGGGCTTCACCAGCAAACAGCAGCTCCGCTGAGCCGCGGCTCTGAAGAGGAACCAGGGTTACTTATAGACAGAGAATGCCAGCCACCTGCTGGACACTTCAATCACTGCCCACTTGCCTGCTTTCTCCAAATGAGAATCAACCAGCCGATTGCAGTTCCTACGTGGCTTAACAGACACCTTTGGCTTCTCATGTAAGCACACAGCACCCAGGGAAGGTATTAAATAAATGTTGCTAGCAGTCTGCACAGGCACTGGAAATCTTTCTGATACTATCCCCGTGAATCCAGATGGGGATTCATATCCCATTTTCTCATTTTTTCTAATTCATTAGAATGACATACTAAGATTGCTATCAAATGAGGTCTGTCTTTGAATTAAACACAAACTGATGCACACGGCATCCATATGTGAGTTACCCCACTCAGTTTTCCCGCTGCCTCTTTGAACAGGGACTGCTCCTCAGAAACACATGCACAGACTCACACCTTAAACCTTCAGCAACTGACATCTGGAAAAACCAGAAGCACAATGCACACATGCTCTTTCCTGTAGATTTGCCAAACCATTCCTATTCCATTCACCAGTGAGAAATTAAATTGGGAAACAGCTGTATTCTTAACTCTCAAAGATCAATGGTCTTTTCCAGAAAAACTGGTCTTTTCTTATCTGATCTAAAAATTTTATGAATCGGCATTTTGATGCAGCTATTTGCATTTTTAATTGAATGTTTGCCATGTTTTATAGCAAATATCCTCTTAAGCCCTGTGTGGAAAGTAAAGAACTATGAAAGAGTGATAGATACAATACTGAGGAATTGAGTGGGTGGTAAAAAAAAATTATAGTTGAAGGAGTGCTAAAAAAAAGCTTCATTGAGGAAGTACTATTAGAATCAGGCTTAGAACTTTAGCCAACAACTTCTAAATACATTATTAAAGTGCATCTTTATGACTCATGTGAAGCCAGCTCTTCCAAGTACATGACGTGAAGCCAGTCACTAACAGGTAAGGTCTTGTTTTTCGGAACCCATAAGGAATAACAAAACTTGCACTTACCATGCCAAGGCCCACCAAGAAAGCCCCCAATGTGTTGTTATGGACATTTCCAGTGGCAGGTTCCAACACTAAGTCTGCTGCCATGCTTCCTATATAAATATGAAAGGCTCCTTTCTCTTCTTCTCCTTTTCCTTCTCTTTTCTCTACCTAAATAAAATCACCTTTCTGCAACAAACAAACAAACAAACAAACAAAGGCTCAGCACTCCTCACCGCCAGCAGTAGGGAGACTGATGCTGCATGGCTAGAGGTGGAAGAGCTTCTCAGCGGAGATCAGTATCACCAGTAATGAGCCTATAGCCATGAGCCCGGTGGTGTTGATTAGTTGCTAGCAGTATAGCTTAATGATGCAGTACACAGGCCCTGCTTCAATCCTGGCTCCCTCATTTATAACCGCAGCAAGTTACTTAGTGTCTTAAGCTTCAGGCTCCTCATCTGTAAAGAAGGATAACTTGTGAGGTTAGATGAAATGATTCATGTTAAGACTGCATTGTATTTAGCACACAGTAAATGCTCAATTAATATTAGTTATTATTATTATTAGATTGAGGGGGAAAGGCTTACTTTGGAAAAGCCCAATAAGGTCAGAAGAGTGATTGACCTCAGATCAACAGGCAAGAACTCATACGAGTGAATTAGCGTCTCCTCTATTCACTTGAAAGAAATTTATCAAACATCTACCAGTTGACAGGCACTGAGCAAGAGGCAGAGAAAAATAGCATGAAGATATGTACTCTCACAGCTCTTTAGACCACATCCCCTCTCTGGAGTGAAGCAACTACCTTTTCTCCAGAAAAGATATTATCTGATTTTAAAGATTAAGTGTTGGCAGTGTCTTTTGAATGAAGAAAATTGTATGTGCCTAGGATCAAGGCATAAAGGAAAGAGCATGGCACTGAACAAAGAGACATGTAAATCCAGAGGGTCACCCACATTGGAAGCCAGGGATGGAAAAAGAACAACATGAAATGCAGCTAGAAGCAGGTTTGGGTGAGATTGTGATGGATCTTGTATTCTTACTAAGAAGTTTGGTCTAGAGGGCGTATTTTTGGTTCACAAAGAAGACTTCTGGATGTTGTTTCCCTTTACTTCTTTAAACACCCCTGTGTGCTGAGTCAGCCTCACTCCTTAAATCTAATTGGGTGGCTAGTGCTTCTTCCAGTGTAAGTTAAGGGGATGCTGATAGCTATTGATTTCTTATAGCTGGTGTTAGCATTATGTGTTCCACAGCACTGCAGAGTCTTCTAATGGTATTTTAGGAGTAAAGGTATGTTGAGGTTTGACATCTAATATTTTCTGGGATCAAGGATGATTTAAAAAGCTAATTCGATAATTTCTATGTCATTTCAACTAATTAACTATAATGACTCTTTCCATCCCTACCATTATATGTCACCTTCCGGCAGAGCACCAAACATATTCAGACATTTGTTTAGCTTTTTATTTACTGGTGAGCATGAGATGCCTTTGAGATATGAACATGACACAGAACAAATATAAAATCTCTGTCCTCAGGGAGTCCAATTTATGAATAGAATTGGAGTATGACTCAGCATGTTTTCTTATGTGTTAGGCCAGGGTGTCACTTTGACATATGAACGTGACATGGAACAAATGTAATATAAAAGCTCTGTCCTCAGGGAGTCTGATTTCTGAATAGAACTGGAGTATGATTCAGCATCTTTTCTTATGTGTTGTGGCAGAAGTGTCACTTCTATTTCTATTTCAATCGAGTCACATTTTTCGTCTTTCCAAAAGATTTTATTTTCTGTGGGGCTTTAATATGAGGTGGACAGTGACTTGGTAGAATTTAGGAAGACAGGTAGATTCAATGGAACCACAGAGAGTGGAGACAAAGCCTCTTCCCACTGGCTATGTGCAAGGGCAAATGGGAAGCCACTCTGGAGGGAAAGGCTGAATTTGGCTTTAGGCATACTGAGTTTGCCAAATGAACAAGGGAATGTAAGAAAGCCAATGGAAAATGAGAGGTGAAGTCTGAAAGCATAGAAGTAAATAATTAAAAGGACTGGCTGAGAACTAGAACCCTGAATGCAAAATAGTTTAAATGTAAAATAAGAGTCACAGAGAATCAAGTGAAGTTAGGCTTTGAGAAGAAGATTATGTGGTATAAGTCAGTGAAGACTAAGCGTGATTTCAGTATTAGATTTGTGACAGCACCATGGAGAAGCTACTCAAAAAATTGCAGCAACCTTTGCTTGAGAAGAATCAGAGATGTCAAATTTTAGTACTGCAGCAGGAACAAAAGAGGCAGATGACTCTATCCAGATCCTGTAATGCTGGGATCATTTCAAGTTCCCTTTTCTATTCTCAACATTCTGTGACTTTTCATGGGGCTTGAAAACTTAGAAGAAAGATGAGGGAAGTCTTCTGGAAGAAAAAAAAGAATGAGGTTTCATTCTGAGGCACATGAAACTGCAGAAGAAATGTAGATGCCAAGAGAGAGCCTAAAGAGGAAGATAAAATTCTCAGACACATCTGAGGCTAGAACACCTGGTGTGGTGATTAAAATATATTCACCAGTTCTCAGTACTCTTTGCTTCAAGAGATGTAGATTAATTTAACCCCCACCTCCACCCCTTAAGTGTGAGCTTTACTTAATGACTTGCTTGTAACAAATAGAATGAAACAGCAGGAACAATGTGTAACGTCCAAGACTAGATGATAAGGGGCATTGCAGCTTCCTCTTTGCACTCTCTCCTTGGATCAATTGCTCTGAAGGAAATCAGCAGCCATGTCATGAGGATACTCAAGTGGCCCTATGGACAGATCCATGTGGATCTATATGCTATATACTATAGTATACAGTATAGTATACAGATCCACATGGACAGATACTATATACTATAATATATACTATAGCTATGGACAGGAGGTTTCATGCAATATAGTATATATACTGTATACTATAGTATATATACTATATACCATATATAGTGTATACTTTATACTATAGTATATGTACTATATATTATATATAGTATATATACTTTATTGCATGAAACCTCCTGTCCATAGCTATGTGAGTCAGTCATTTTTGAAGTAAATCATCCATCCCCAGTCAAGCCTTCACATAACAGCAGCCTCAGCTGACTCTTTGACTGGAGCTTCATGAGAGTCCCTGAGCCAGAATCACCCAGCCAAGCCACTCTTAAATTCCTGATCCACAGAGACCATGAGTTAATAAATGTTTGTTGTTTTAACCCATTGTATTATGGTAATTTGTTATGCAGCCACAGATAACACCTGGTAAGTAGAATGGATGGAGAAGAGGAATAAAAGAAAACCACCCCAAAGACAAAAGAAAACAGAAAAGGAAGACCAGAAAAAGCAAGTGCTATAAACCTGAGTTGAACCTTGAGTGGTCATACAGGGTGTGAGGGAAGGAAAGTATGGTCAAATCTAGAAAGGTTGTGCAGACTAAAATTCATTTGTCATTCAGTAACACCAAAGTTTCTTATCTGGATCGAAATATGTTTTTGTTTTTGTTTTTTTGAGATGGAGTCTCGTTCTGTAGCCCAGGCTGGAGTGCAGTGGTGTGATCTCAGCTCATTGCAACCTCTGCCTCCCGGGTCCTGGTTCAAGCAATTCTTCTACCTCAGCCTCCCAAGTAGCTGGGATTACAGGCACGAGCCACCATGCCCAGCTAATTTTTGTATTTTTTAGTAGAGACGGGGTTTCACCATGTTGGCCAGTCTGGTCTTGAACTCCTGACCTTGTGATCTGCCCACCTCAGCCTCCCAAATGGCTGGGATTACAGGCATGAGCCACTGCACTGGGCCCAAAATACATATTTTTTAAATATTGTAAATGAGCTGAACTTTCTTGTTCAGCCACCATATACCTGGAAATTAGACACTTTATATTTCATTTCTGCATCTGCTCAGTGAACTTGGACAAGTAAAATAAAATCAATGAACATTATTTGTCACTGAGCTGTTCTGTGCTATGAATTCTCCATTCATAACATACAGGAATATTTTGCCCTTGCCTATATCCCAGGACAACTTGATGCATTAGCACAACCAGGAGTATGGAAGGCAAATGAGAGTGGTACTGTTTCTCTAATCTCAGCCGTCTATTTCCAGCCTTTTCTTCCTCTCCCCTGAGGGGGTTCTATCAGGACAGTCCTAGACTCCCTGAAATACATTCCTGTATTATTTCTACCTCCAATAACAGATGTCTGACAAGAAAACATGTTGCTGGCACGGACTGCTTTTTAACTGTTAGATTTTGAAATGTCTTTCAGTTTATGGAAAAGTCACAAAAACAGTACAAAAAGTTCCCGTATACCCCTCACCTAGCTTCTGCTATTATTAAAATCTTACAAAATGAAGAAATTAGCATTGGTATAATACTGTTATCTAAATTACAGCTTTTATTCAAACTTAACTAGTCTTTCCATTACTGTCATTTTCTGTTCCAGAGTCCAATTCAAGATACTATATTGCATGTAATAAACATGATTCTTTAGCTCCTCCTAGATGTGACAGTTTCTCAGGCTTTCCTATTTTTCCTTACCTTGACATTTTTGAAGAATACTCGTCAGGTATCTTATAGACTGTCCCTCCATCGGGGTTTACCTGGTATAATTTCATGATTTGACTAGGGATATAAATTTGGGGGAGAAAAACCGTAAGAGGTAAGGCACCCTTCTCATCACTTCCTATCAGGGAGTATGTATTAGTTGCTACTGTAACAAATTACCACAAACTTAGTGGCTTAAAATAGGAAAAATGTATTCTCTTACAACTCTGGAGACCAGAAGTCAGAAATGAGCCTCACAGGGCTAAATTCAGAGTGTTAGCAAGGCAGACTTCTTCTGGAGGCCCTATGGAGAATTGCTCTTTGCTTCTTCCAGCTGGTGATGGTTCCCAGCGTTCTTTGGCTTGTGGCCACATCACTCCAATCTCTGCTTCTGTTGTCAAATTGCCTTCTCTTCTGCAGTCAAATCTCCCACTGCCTCCCACTTACAAGGGCCCTTGTGGTATAATGGGCCCACCTGGATAATCAGGACAATCTCCCTATCTCCAGATCCTTAATTTAATTGTGATCCTTAATTTAATTCTCTTTTACCATATAAGGGAACATATTCACAAGTTCCAGGGACTAGCAGGTCAGTATCTTTGGGAGCCATTATTTACCCTACTACAGGGTGAATGATTATCCATATGATTTATCAGTGGTGAAGCTAACCTTTACCACTTAAGTAAGGTGGTATCTGCTAGAATTTCTCCACTGTAAAGTTATATTTGGGGTGATAGATTCCTCTTCATTGCTAAAAGTATGACTTCACTCACAACTAAATCAGTAATAATGTTGACATTTTGTAGCCATTCAACACCATTTACATAAGGTCCTTTCCCTGCCAGCCCCATCTCTAGGTTCCAGAAATACAAAAATTAGCAAACAATGGTTCCTGCCCTCAAGGAGCTAATTGCCTAATGAGGACAATGTTTTCAACGTATTGAAAGAAAGCTATTTTGTAACAGAAACCAGCATTGTTTTTAAACAATGGAACTTGCTTCAGCAGAATTTCACATACAGCAGAATTTCACATACTGCAGAATTTAAGCTTCCGCTTGCCCCACCAACAAGATATCAGAGGCTGAATTCTATTCGAATTGCTTATTGGCTACCTGCCTTGGATGAAGTTACTTTTAAATTATATGCTTCCATTTTTTCGTATATAAAATCTGGAACCTGCTTCAGCAAAGACTTTTGATTGTATAGTAGGTTTCAGGTCATACAAAAAGGAAAACTAACGTTCTTACAGTTTCTGAAGTATGATTGGTCTTT